CATTTCTGCAATTAAAAAAAGCCTCTACATACTTTAATTCTGATGCTGTATTTGCATGTCCTGAAGTTGTCTTATAACATTTCCACCATGTTGATAGCCACAATAAAAGTTAAAAGTTTCCCCTGACCAGTTGTGTATGAGTCTGGGGGAGGGGGTTCTTAGCTGAGGGAGCCATGTTGTCCGAAGACACTTCCTTGGTCAGCATGACAATATCCTGAGACACAAAGAATGGTGTTACCTTCCCACTGAAGTGGTACCTATTTATGTACTTGCATTTGCATGCTTTTGAATTGCTAGGTTGGCAGGAGATGGGGCAAATAATGGGAACTCATCCCATCATGAGGTATTTGGGTCTCAAACCTGTGCTGTCAGCTTTCCATGTGATCAGCTCAGTGTCTTTAACTGCTAAGTAACTGCACCCCCCACACCCCCAGTAGATAATGGCAGATAGATGGGTTCTCACATAATGACCTAAGCTTCAACACTATCCGAAATACACAGAAACTAAAGAGTGGATGGAAGCTTTTGCTATACCATCACTGTAACTGACAAGGGAACATTTCTGTGTGAGCCTTAAAGTAGTATGGGATAAATTCTGCATGGGCAAAGGCCATGTGCCAGTATTAATGCTTTGAACCATCTTTTAAGCAGGGTAGAAAACAGCAGCCCAAAATGCCTTTAATTCTGGAGAATATAATAAACAAAGGCCAGTGTTTAGGGCAAGGATCTTCAAATTTGGCAAATTTAAGACTTGTGGACTTCAACTCCCAGAATCCCTGAGCTAACATGACTGGAGGAGGAATTCTGGGAGTTGAAGTCCACAAGTCTTAAAGCTGTCAAGTTTGAAGATCCCTGGTTTAGGGAATTCTTACTGCAGCATTACCTCTGCCTTTCAGTATTCCATATTTTGCTACAGTACAAAGAAACCATCCAAAGTGTAAGCATTTGTAATATCACCCATTTAAATTTACCTTAACCCTTTTAGTGAGAATTGTAAAGCTTTGCATAGCTCAAATAGCATCTATGATGCATTGTTGAGCAATGCTGAAGGAAACGTAGAACTTAACATTAAATGAGACTGACATAAAAGAATATATAAACTGAATTTTTAAAATAAATAAATTAAATAAGGGCCAGCTATGGAAAGCTTCTCAAATAACACTACCAACTCTCCTGAACTAATAGTAATACTAGCATCATAATTTATGCTAGTGTTATAGAAAAGAACAACTAAAAGATATTTTCATGTTTTAGGCAGTTCCCCTATAAAATCAGCCAACAGTGGGATCTTAACAATCAAACTATTTTTACAGTACAACACAGAGGTCCATTACTAGATGTCAGAAGCAAGCAATTTCCCCTTACACGGTTATGAAAAATTAGGTCCCTAAAGACACCTAGCAAAGGAAATCATCCATGTGTAAAAGTAACCTTGCCTGAGTGTGCAGTTAATGGTGATATAAATCTGCGTGCATAGTTTCACTGATACTGAGAGTCATCATGAGCAAACGGTTAACTAAATATGGATGAGGATGTTTTTGGCATCAATAATAACAGACTGTGAAAGTATGTGCATATATTGGAATTCTATATCTTTGTTATCACCACTGCTGTTAAAAACCAAAATATCAAAAGCTTGGGGAAAAGAGGTAAACATCTGCATGTTCAGTTTTTAAAAAATCTTTATTACAAACCTTTCTAGGAGATGCATTTGAATGAGTACTAAACAGCAGTTTTTCCTTATATTTGAAGAATGCTGGAAAGACTGTTTATGTTGGAAGGAAATTATATGTTTGAAAATCTTGCTATGTGTTTGGAAACACTGTTTTTTTTAAAAAGGCATTTCCTGAAAGACAAAAGCGCCAACACTTTTGAAACCGAACATTGCAATCTAAAGAAAACAAATTATGCCATTAACCAATTTTCAACTATATCTGGTCCTCGATTATCGACTTAATGGAGGCTGCTCATTGTACTCCTAAGTCATGGCGGTCATAAAGCAGGTCATTACATGATCAGACCTGTTTTTTTTTTTTTTACTATTTTGTGTATGTGTGGCAGTCATTAAGTGCACCCATTGTTCACTATGGAGCATTTTTTCCAAAAATGGGAAATAAATGCAGTTGTAAATCACAGTCACATGACTATGGGATGCTGCAAGTAGCCATAAATATAAATATCCTTAGTGCCCCAAATGCAGTTATGTGACTTGGGGGGCAGCCAGTGGAACTTTGGAACCTGGTCATAATTACCTTTTGGGGGGGTTGTAACTTCAACCAATCACTGAGTGACAGTTGTAGGTTGAGGATCTATCTTCATCACAAAAAGGACCACCGCTATTTAATTTATTTATATATTTATGTACATATGTGTGTACGTATGTGTGTAGGTATATATGCATTTATTTATTTACTTATTTATTCTTCTATTTTGAAATTCATCACTAAAAGTGTCCCCATTCCTACTTTGGACTCAGTATTTTTCTTATCTGACCCTAGCACTGATTGTGATTCTTCCTCCTGTCTCCCAAGATTATTCTCATATCCCATTACATTCCTATGCCAAATAAATTAAAGGAATGAGATAATAAAATATATTTAAATTTACTTTAGAGCACTATCATTCTTTATAACATCATCTGGATTATGCAGCCACAATAAAATGAATAAAATAAACTCCTAAAGGGGAATCATTCTCCATATTTTTCTGCCCGTGTTCCTGCCATTACCCAAATTATTTATTGTCTTTTGTTTTTTGCTAATGAAGAAAGTTATATTAATATCAAGATCAAGCTATTAAGTCTCTTACTGAATGAAGTATAAGTGATTTTTTTAAAGGAAGAGCTGAGAATTATTTGTATGTGTGATGCAAGTTCACTAATTAATTTAAACTTTAATTATCTGGAGTTTAGTGTATCTCATGGAATATCTTGATGGCAAAAACTGCTGTTAAATGACATGTTATTATTCAATTTATTAAGGGTTACATGAAATTTAGCACTATATACATAATTCTTGTTATGGCTTTGAATTTTAGGTTGGGTTAATAATTGCCTTATCTCTCATGTCCATTCCTGCTTTCCTTCTGAGAAAAATTTTTCACTTTACAAATTCAAAGGTTTCTTTTTTATTTGTATACATTTAAGACTGCTTACAGAGTAAACTTAAAATATTTTTTTTATCAAATGAAATGCACCTTTATCAATCCAAACTTGAATATTACCACTAGCAACACCTACATCTAGCATCAACTCTTTTTAAATGATGAACAAATAAATAAGAACATGCTTATGCCATCAAAAGAAGCAAGGAAATGAATTTTTTCAAAGGTTATAGGAGCAATGAGTTGTGGAAGAAAAAGTAATTACTTAGAAGTAATTTTATATTTCTTTATAATTTAACAATAGTAAAAGAAAAAATGTAAGAGAAATAAATAAAAAGAATAGTAAGCAATGAAAATAATAACGGAAAAAAAGAAAGAAAAATAAAAAGTAAGATTACAAAAAAATCAGCTTCTGATCTTTGTGACAACAGTTATAAATTTTTACTTTGCCCTGTCTCTGTACAGTTACATCATAATTTCCTTATTTCCATAAGTTATCCTGTCTAATTTTCAAACTCATAAATCACAAGTCCATTTTTCTTTTTTCTTTTAAAAAATAACTACAAGGGGTTTTCAATCATTGCTAAATGCAGCTGTTGATCTTTCTCTAAACAAACATGTTCATCTTGGCATTTCTGCTAGTTCTGTCAACTTTACCAACAATTCCTCATTGTGGGTATTTCAGAGTCTTTCCATTTTGCACATATAATAATGTCATATGAGTGAACATGTGTTTAAAAAAACCCACTTCCATGTCTCTTTTGTAATATACTGCCCATTAATCCCAGCCAGAAAAATTCTGATTTCACTTAAATATTGACCTTTAAATTTTCTTGTTTTACAAACGCACCAGATATGTCAAAAATGACCTTTTTATGCTGTCCACATTTCCAATATAAATTTGAAGTACTCATTTCTCATCTAAGATTGCATATGAATCAACAAATCTTTAAACGAAGACATCAATCCTAAAGCTTGCCAGAATTTTGGCCGTTTCTCTTCCATTTTTGAAATGCAGTGAACTTGAAGTAAACTAAGTGCATTAATTTCACTAGAGTCTTGACCCTCTCTTTTTAATTCTTTTTATCCTGCCCTTATATTTGTAGATAACTCAAGACACACAAATCTAATATTGCTTCCTTTTCCTATTTTCTCCATAACATCAACCCTGTGAGGCGAGGTGGGCTGAGACAGTGTGACTGGCCAGAAATTACCCAGGCATCTTTCATGCCTAAGGTGAGACAAGAATTCATAGTCTCCTGGGGTTGTAACTTCTCCATAAATATAGACACAATGGGAAAATCAGGGTCCTGTTTATCTGATAATTTGTTTCTAAAGATCTGAATCTCAGAGTACTCCAATTACCAAACAAAAAATAATTGAGAAGCTACGTGTTGCCTATGGATGATGGTTCTAGGAAGTTAAGACAGTATGATGGACTCCAGCTAAATCTACAGCAGACAACCAGAAGCCCGTAAGTAAAACATAACAGGTTTCTAGCACTTAGACTTGCCCTCTCTAAGCGGTTTACAGAGTCAGCCTATTGCCCCCAACAATCTGGGTCCTCATTTTACCAACCTCAGAAGGATGGAAGGCTGATTCAACTTTGAGCCAGTGAGAATCAAACTGCTGAACTGCTAGCAACTGGCAGTCAGCCCAAGTAGCCTATAGTACTGCATTCTAATCACTGCGTAACCACAGCTCTTTTCAATCCTTTGCCAATGCCTGAGTAAGTAATTAAGTGGGATATTATCCTGGACCATCACGCTCAGCATGTAATCTACAACTCACCTCTTCTAGCAAGACTGTAACTTTAGACATATTATTCGCTATGTTAGCAAGCATAGGCTGCTCTTTTCGTTCATTGAACTGCTGAAAATATATAGAAAAGAAGGTACCTTAATTGGTCTTCCATCTGGTGTGAGCACCTCCTCTGACAGCTCCATCATCTTCAGGGCCATCAGAGCAATTGACTTTGCATGATTCAGGTTCTGCCTGTGGAGCCCGGCCGCCACACAGTATGCATCCCCTATTGTCTCCACCTGCAGCAATCAGGCAAATCAAATGCAAACACATGATAATGAGCGGGGAATTGGTGCCATTAATATTTACAATCACCAAATACTGTTTAAAAACATGTCAGCAAAGCATCAATAAGATAAGCTATTAAGACAAGGGAGTATAATTACCCTCCAAGTTTGTAAACAGGCACCATCAAATCATGACACCTCGATGGAGTTATTTTCCATAGTAAACAAGAAACGATTGCACTTGAGACAACTTGTACAATAAACTGAGTGATAAGAATTTATACCAAAAGAAAGCAGATTGTTTGGATTATCGTTACATGGATTGCTAGATATATAGTACCAATAAAAAAGTGTCTACATGCTTTGCAACCATGGTTCACATAATTCTTCCAACATTGTATTCATGTTATTTGTTTTAACAAATCAGAAATGAATAGAAAAAAAAATAAGACTGGTAAAAGTAGAAATCAAATGCAATGAACCCATGAGATTTAAAATCTTATCCATATTGCCATCAATCTGAAATTTCTCCATCCTTTTCTTCACATTTGCTTAGTATACCTCCTTATTGGAGAAGCTGAATTCAAAGTAAAAGTTGAATAGTTTTATCATTTCTTGTGATTGTTGGAATATTGCAATCTTAACTGAGCACTTGGTATACTGACTCTTATTATTTTGAATATATCTGTTGATTTATTGGATTTGAAGAAACCCTTTGCCAATTCCAGACTTTTATTCTTTGTAGCATTTTTCTATAATTCCATGTTATCTTGTTATTTCTTGGTGACGTACCCTTCTTTCCAGTTAGCAGATGGTTTTTGTTTTGTTTTGTTTAACCTTCCTAAGCTTTTTGTGCTGCAACACTGACTTCTTTTCCTGATGTGTTTACCTCCCTGCTAGAATGGTTTGCAATTGTGTTTTAGTACCATGTATACCATGCTTTACTCATTAGAATCCTGCTTATTTTTGTTCTGAGTTAATTAAAACCCATTTTCTTTAAGTCAGTACATTTGAACACATTCAACTTTAGTTTTGCTTCAAATAAAGAAACTCACTGCACTGTATTATCACTTTTCTCCAAAGTTACTGGTACTTCTTCATCCATGTTTGCTCTACTAGTGAGCATGTCCATTTTCCAAAAGAAAAGGTTGCCACCAAGGATGGTCAGGAGTTTCGTGGAAGAATCTGTCTCCCAATAGATGTTGGCATGATTAAAGCTTTGATCACTGCTACTCTCAAAGATCTACAATTTGCTTTCAAATCTTTCTTTGGTTTGGCAGACAATAGATATTAGCAATAGTATTGCATTGGTTTCTTAACTTTTTTTCTTACTTCTGCTAACTTTAAATCCAGTTAATCTAATTTTATCCTCAGTAGGCATACCATTAAAATGCCTTTAATATTAGACAGATGTTTGCCTCATTAGTCTTGTCATAATTTATTTTCACTGACAAATTTACTTAGTAGGCTTCAACTCCATTATAATGCTTTAATCAAATAATACTAAAGCCAAAGTATGAATATTTATAATGCTGGTTATAAAAGGCCAAATTAAACACTGGAAAAGTATGAATAGTTTTTCAACTCCTTCTTTAAAAGAAATTTTAGGGGTGCTGCAAACCATGAAGGAATGGTAGTATGGGAAGAGCATTTTCTGTTCAATTTGATATCTTTCTTGCTCAGCTTGTCTTCACGGAACAAAAGATTTATATATATGAAAGATACATATATTTAGAATGTACCTCTCTCTCTTTTTTCAATCTTACTGACCTACTCCTTAACAGTCTGCTCTTTATAAAGATTCCTGAAATATTTTTTCCTATCAGTTAAAAACATATTTTTTTTAAAAAAAAAAGCATTTAATAACTTACTTGTAGTGGAAGTGGAAGCATTTCCTTGATCATTTAAGACATGACTATGCCACTTCACTATTGTAACATGTTGCTCCAACTAAAAATAAGTATTCTAATTTTCCAGTTGAAAAACCCAATTCTGGACTACAAAAATATAAATAGCGTGTCCATTTGGGATAGAGAACTAAAACTCAAGCAGCATTTACACTAATTTAGCCTGTTGTTCTAATCTTAATAACCACTGATTTGTTTAGCCCAATCAAAGTCAGTGCTTGGAGAGGGAGATAAGTAAATTTGCGACTGATCTTTTTTATACATAAAGCTGTTTCTAGTGCTAGTACTGTGACTGTAATAAATGAGAATAAATAAATAAGGACTTGTTTTACAGGTTTGCCCCAGCCAGTTATCAAAACAAAAAGCCTTCAACTTCACAATAAAAGAATAAATGAATTAAGCATATGAATAAATAGACAAACTAATTGTAAGGAGTCGTATTTCATATGCCACAGAAGTTTTGCTGTGAAACCTATTTAGACTTGCTCTAAGTAATCTTCTTATCTGCATTTTAAAAAGGCAACCAAGGACCCAATCAAAAGGAGGAGAAAAACAACCTTTCTGAACTGAAAGCACTTCTCTTTTCATATGAGGATAAATTAGGTGAAGCAGCATCTCCTCTTTTATTTACAACACTGTGCAGTTGATCTATAGCTAAATCAATATTGCAGAACAAAGACAGAGCAAAAACCAAGACCATCAAGTCAAAAAATAATAAGGTATGGTTAGTACCAGACTTGGGCAAAGAAGTAGATAAAGTGCTCCACACTGCAGAAGTGGTATCATGCCTCTCAATGACCTGAAGCAATTAACTTCATCAAAGCTTCTTGTGATGCTTCTGAGGTTTTTACTAAGCAGAACAATAACACTTAGATTTATATGTTGCTTCATGGTGTTTTACAGCCCTCTCTAAGCAATTTACAGAGTCAGCATATTGCCCCCAACAATCTGGCTCTTCATTTCAATGACCTTGGAAGAATGGAAGGCTAAAGTCACCTTGAGCCAGTGAGACCCGAACTGCCAGCTGTAGGCAGTGTGCAGAATTAGGCTGTTACACTGCATTCTAACTACTGTGCCAGCACGGTGCAGCCACCAGCATGTCCTATTAGCTGTTGAAAATGTGGGAATTAGCTGGGTGAGGCTTCTGTGATAATCTAGTAAGGAGGTGGATCCAGGGGTAGGCTGATACCGGTTCAGATGAACCCTTAGTTCCGGCGATCAGTTGTCTCCGCCCACCCGCCCCTGTCCTAATCTTTCCTATATTTCGAAGCCCAGCTGATTCGTGCGGCACAGCAGATTGCCGCACCTCAGCTATTTTACTCACTGGGGCTGCAGTAGAAGGTATGTTTTAGAGCTGAAAATGGGTGATTTTCAAATGTATGTGCGTGCAAAGCATGAGCTCACCGAACAGTTGTTACACCAGTGGAATCCCACCACTGGGTGTCTTCCCCAGGAAGACGGGGTACATTCTGGAGAGACAATTCAGTCTGGATGTAATGTTTGAGAGAAACAGAATGAAGACAGCCCTGTTTAAAATTTTCCAGAGAATATAGTAGATGCAGACAGTGGAGCCCACAGTCTGGCATGATGTTATCTGTAGGTGCAAATGTGAGAACTCAGCTTGGAAAAATTGCACGTGTCATTCTCAGTTTTGGGTTTGAGAGCCTCAGAAGCAATACAATGCAAAGCAATATGCCAGTTTTGTTTTCCTCTACAGATAGGAGGAAAAGGCTTCTTTTATTACCTTATATCATTAAACAGCTTTATTTATAGCAGTTTATTTATTATTTTCAAAATCAAGAAGTTTATTATTCTTTTTTCAAAATAAAGCATTTCAACAAAGCTTCAAATATTTGAAGCATTGTTGAAATGCTTTATTTTTGGGGAAAAATTTTTTTTTTACAAAGGCCTAGTTAGGAAAGACCTAACCTCAACATGCTAACACATCCACTGTTGTATCTCAGAATCCAATAGTGTGTTCTGAGGCAGGATTATGAAATTCACACCAACGTTTGTTCACACCAATGGTGGCAGATGTGAATGTAACCTGATTCGCGCAAACTCTAAAAATTCTCAGATGAATTGACAGCCAGCATAGCAGGAATTTCAAGATCTGGAGGTGCTCATAAATAACAGAAGAGAAGAACTTGGCTTGCAGGGAGATGTCAAATGATATAATGAAAAGACAACTTGATAACGATACATTTACAAGAATTACTGACCCTACAGAAACCATTCTACCTTTTAAAATTAATGCTTCTATTCTTATGGACAATGATGTGTATTTATACAATGTGGCAAATTAGTATAGCAGCTTCCCAACACTGTTTGTGAATGCTATATAAGTGCCTGGTTTGATTTCAGCTTAATGTGGCATGAAAAAAGCAAACCATAGTTTATAGTTTAACATTATACATAAATCAGCTATTATGAATACAGTTTGAAGAAATCATAGCTTAGCCCAGTACATGAAGCTAACCCATTTGTAACAACAGAGTTCAGAAGACAGTCTGGCAAAACAGAATTTTTGGCTGCTAAACAGAATCAATATTATGAAATAATTGCATGCAGAAACTCAAACAATGTTTAAAATTGCATTAAAATGATTTGACCAAAGGGTGAATGTGATTTAAAGAATTAATTATATCCGAAAATACTTCAAATATGTTGTAGATCTCACAAGTGAACAAAAAGATGCATTAAAAAAATAATTTTAGCAGTTTATCTCTCACTTTTCCAAACCTGTCACAGTTTTTTAAATGAATAGAAACTAAAACCTATATTTCTCATTATAACTATTCATTCTCAATTATGTTTAATATTTTTAGGCACAGTCATTTCTATTTTTAGGCACAGTCATTTAATTTGCTGCCACAGTTACTTCTACTAACAATATGCAAAGTCAGGAAAGCATATAAATATTCATAGGCAATTACTCTAATAGAAATCTACATACATCTTCCACCTGCATGTTTAATGGGAAATTGATCGGGATTTGACCACAGATTTATATATTGTATTTCCTTGAAATAAAGATAACCCTAAATTTAAGATAATCAGCTCTGAACAACATACAACAAACTAATCAACCATAACACGATAAAA